ACTCGCTCTGTAGACCAGGTTGACTTCAAACTCACAGAGGTCCTCCTGCCTCTGCCTCTCTAGTGCTGGGATTGAGGCATGGGCCACCACCGCCCAGTTAGTCAGCCTTTTTCATAAACTTTTTACAAAGTGTGCCTGTGTACGTGTGTGTGTCACGGAACATGTGTACCGTGGCACACATGTGGAGGACGGAGAATAACTTTCTGAAGTTACTCTCCCGCTTCCACCCTTCTGCGGGTTGGGGCACGCTGACTCCAGTCCTTGGGTTTCCACGCACGTGCTTTTCCAGGCTGAGTCGGATGAACCGTACAGTGGGCTATCTTTTAAAGTTCTACAGCCACACACATTAAAGAGTTTTTTCTTCTTCCTGTCAGTTTGGCTTTTGTTGCTGAAGTTTGTGCCTCCCAACACTTCCTGATCTGCACACTCCAGCTCTACCCTTATCAGTGTCCTTGGCCACAGACCTCTTCCCACACTTCTCTGCCAAGCAGGCTTCCCCCTCCTGCTGACTCCTATTGGATTCTGCTCATCCTCCAGAACCACATACAAGCAGCGTCTTCCTTGGCAAACCTTCTCCGTCCTGCTCATGTCCGGTTTCCTCCACTTGTCCTTTATAGCACTATTCACACTAGCGATAAAAATGCCATTAGTTGACTAATGTCTTCTCCTCTAGTCATCTGCAAGTGTCTTCCCCACCTCTTCCCCTCTCTTTCCCCCTCCCCTTCCCCTCCTCTCCCCTATCTTTTTCCCCTTCTGTCCCTCCTCTTTTTTTTTTCTTTCAGAGTGGCACCGCAGTTTGTGCTGGCCTTGAACTTACTCTCAGGTTGCCATGGTCATTCTAGTGCTAGAAGAACAAGCATGGGTGCCCAAGCCCAGCTCAACTGTAAGTGTCTTGATGGTAAGGGCCCTCCCTGTATTTGTTTGATACTGTATTCTAAGTTCCTAGCACAAAGTGGACTCATATGTATCAAATTACCGAATGAGGGGCTAAGGGACTGGTCCAGCAGTGAAACACTTTCCGAGAGTGCATGAGCCCTGAGCTTGATCCCCAGCAACAGCGCGAATTCCTGACTGCATGATTCAGCATGGATGAGAGTATGCACAGAAGATGCGAGAAACCCCACCTGCAACCGAGCAGGCAGGCTCCCCTCACGGCACCCATTTAGCACAGGGCAAAGCAATCTCAAAATAGCCAGTGCTGGTGTGGGCTGAGTTGCTACTCTATCGGGGTAACTGTCCTGGGTAGGGATTAGATGACAGGTTTACTTGAGAGGGGCTGACCCAGAAAACTGCCCTGCAACATGCATGAGAGATCCTGATGAAACCTAAAAATAGTGCTATCGCTGGCTTGGAAACCTTGAGTGATGATCCATCCTCTCTCCTTTGCAACCTCTGCCACTGCGAAGCCTCGGCTGCCTTTTTTTTTTTTTTTTTTTTTTTTTTATTGAACTGGAGAATTCCAGAGAGGGCTGCTGTTCTCTGCCAGCTCACTGGCTCTGCTATGCCCGCTTTTACCTTTTGTACTTGTTGGTTTGCTTCTTTGAGATGGGGTCTCCCGTAGCCCAGGCTACCTCAAATTTGCTTTAGAGCCGAGATTGGCCTTGAACTCCTCATCTCCTGCCTGCTCTTCCCAAGCGCTGAGATTACGAGTGTAATACCTCCACATTACATGTTATTTATTTAGTCAGTGCTGGGACTCACACTCAGGACCCTGCGCATCGTAAGCAAGAGTTCTGTTCTCCTCCAGCCCACTCATTTTAAAACGAGGAAACGAGCTTCCGAGAGGCCTGGAGATGACACGTGCCGGAGCCCGGAGTTTGGAATCCTCAGGCACGGATATGACCTGAGTATGACCCTGGAACCCACAGACACTTACAAAATAAAGCTGACGTGGTGGCATGCCTATAGCCTCAGTGCTGGGAGGTGGGCACAGGTGTACCCGGGGGCTCTCCAGCCATCCAGCCATCCAGCCAAGCCAATGAGAGACTCTGTCTCAAAAACAAGGTGGCACTTCTGAAAATGACATCTGAACTTGACCTCTGGCTTCTTTGCACATGCATGTGTACCTAAATGACCAGGCTTTCACATGTACATATACATACATCACCCCCAAAAGAAGAGAACAAGCAAGTGAGCGTGAGCGAGTGAGCATTTTCAAAGAAGGAACCGGACAGAGCTTGGAGAACCGCAGAGGTTCAGTGGCTCCCATGCCCCACAGATTCGAACCTTTCATAGGTTTTTCTGTGCATTGTAACAGGTCAGCCTTGGCGGGGAGGAGCCTCCACTTTGGTTTCTTCTATGGGCTAATTCTGCCCTCACTGTATGCCTTACTCTTCTGTCTCAGTGTTATAGAAGAGGAGACTGAAAACCAGACACAAGGTCACACCTAGAGCTCAGAGAAACATTGTCTTTGTCTATTCTCCAGGTTCATTCACACCTTTAAAGCTTTTTTTTTAAAAATATTTATTTATTTATTTATTATGTATACAATATTATTGTCTGTGTGTATGTCTGCAGGCCAGAAGAGGGCACCAGACCCCATTACAGATGGTTGTGAGCCACCATGTGGTTGCTGGGAATTGAACTCAGGACCTTTGGAAGAGCAGGCAATGCTCTTAACCTCTGAGCCATCTCTCCAGCCCCCCTTTAAAGCTTTTTTATTGTCTCTGTTATGTATATGAGTGTCTGTGTGACTGTCTGCCATGTGTGTGCAGGCACCTGCAGAAGCCAGAAATGGGTCTCAGATGCCTTGGTGGAAAGCTGCCCGATGTGAGTGTTGGGAATTGAACTCTGGAAGAGCAGCAAGGTCTTTTAGCTGTCAAGCCATCTCTCCAGCCGCAGCATTCGTTTCTTTAAAAACCGCTCACTGCCCGTTGCCTCCAATCTTGCTTCTCTCTGCTTTACCAAGAGGCTGCTTAAGCTTCAGCTCCGCAGCGCGCTCCTTTGGGCTCTCGTGTTTTGTGTGACTCCCAGGCTTAAACCAATCAATACATTCGTTATAGCTTTTCTCCTGTTAGTCTGTTTAATACTAATATATTTCATGGACTAAAACAATTAAAGCTTGGGTGTGACCCTAGGCAGGTGCCAGACGTTTCGGATGCCGTGCTCTTGTAGGTCACCTGAATGAGGGGCAGGAGAGAAGAGTTGCTTCCCCTTTCTCGTGAGCACCGCTACATTGGGAGACATCGCATCGAGCATAGTCTGAGCAAGCACTCAAGACCTGATGAAGATAGCCAGAATGAAGATGGGAGAACCATGTGGAGGAGACAAGTTCCCTGTCAGTGGAAAGGTCTGAGCTCTGCTACCAGATGAGCGGATATGTTTGGGTAACACACTTGTCTTTCTAGCCATTTACTAAGTAAGATAGTGTCCTTGTCACTTCCCTACTGCCGTGACGAAACACCCTGATGAAAGCAGCTTATAAAAGACAACATCTAATTGGGAGCTCATGGTTCCAGAGGTTAGAGTCCATGACTACCATGGCGAGGAGCATGGCAGCAGACAGGCAGGCATGGCACTGGAGCAGCATCGGAGAGCTTACTTCTTCATCTACACGTGGGAGGCAGAAACCCCCAGACACATGCCTCCTCCAACAAGACCACACCCCTGATCCTTCCCAAACAGTTCCACCAACTGGGGAACCAAGGATTAAAATAGATGAGCCTATGGGAGCCGTCCTCACTTAAACCATCACAGTTAGTAAGACTAGCTCCATGGCATTGTGACTCTAAATGAGACAACATAAGACCTCTGCTCCAGAACGCTGCCCTCTGTGCATGACATGGCCAATGGCATCTTTAAATTAGGGCAGATGCAACTAACCACAGGAGACCCTCACAAGATAGAGGTTATTAAGACTCGTTTCAGGCCAGCAAGATGGCTCAGGGAGTAAAAGTGACTGCTGCCAAACCTGGTGGATTGAGTTTGATTCCTGGGACCTTTATGGTAGAAAAAGAGAACCAACTCCACAGGATGGCCTCATACCTCCGCGTGCACACTGCGGTATGTGCACGGCCTGATCCAGTGCTCTATCACTCCTGCTGGGGTGAGCTTTTTGGTGGTAAACCTGCCCAATTCACCCGTGTTCTTGTAATGAACCCCAACAAGCCCCATGGATCACCAAGCTGCACTGAGTGAATGGCTTGTCATTGTCCTCTGTCTGAGGCAAATGGGAATTGACGCCCCAGGAAGAGCTACTCCATGTTGGCATTTGCTCAATGGATGGAGTCACTGCTCACTTCCATTCCCTTCCAAACTCATAAACATTGATAGAAAGTTTGCTTTAATGACAAGCGATAATGACTTGGAAGAGCAAACTTCAGCCCTCCTCAAGAGACCTCTTCTCTCTTGAGCCATGTTAATGTTTTAATCAGATTACAGCCAGGTCCTGCTGAACCTTTGGTGGCTTTGCCTATCTGTCCTCTGAGCCATTAGTCACAGGATTTCCAGCTCACCGTTGAAAGCAGTTTTAGTTCCTTCATTCCTGAATGTTCAAGCAGGCTGTACCTCCCAACTCCAAAGAACATAAATCACTAGGAACTTCTGAGCTGGGCGTGGTGGCTCATCTCTGTAACTCAGCACTCTGAGGCAGGATGATTGCCACCAGTTTGAGATCATCCTGGGCTACAAGACTAACCTAGACTACAATGTAAAAGCCTGCGGCAACAAACTAAATTTTCCAGGTTCAGAGGTTGGAGGTAATGGAAGAGATCCAGAAAAAGTTACCCTGGCTCATTTTCATCTGAAGGGACTGAAGTCCTGAAATTCCTTATCTGTCTAAAGCCGAGAATTCAAGAGCCATAAGTCCCCTTTTTAACTGCTGAGAGACCCTAAGTTGCTCCACACTATATAAAAGATTGGTTTTTAGGCTGTGCCCTGCTCTGAGAGACTTCATTTTCCAAACAGATTCGGACTGGTTTGAGCGCAACTTCAGGGTCTAGGTATCTTATTGCCATAATGAAACACATGACCAAAAGTAAGTTGGGGAGGAAAGGGTTTATTTCGCTCATAGATTCATAAGCAGTTCATCATCAAAAGCAGTGAGGGCCGGAACTCACACAGGGCAGGAACCTGGAGGCAGGAGCTGATGCAGAGGCCGTGGAGGGGAGCTGCTTACTGACTTGCTCAGCCTGCTTTTGTATAGAACCCAGGATCACAAGCACAGGGATGGAACCACCCACATGGCCTAGGCCCTCCCCCATCAGTCACTGTAGCAGACTTTCTTGGGCTACCAGGCCCCAAATCATGACACAGAGACATTAAGTATGACAGGTTGGCCTTAGCTTAGGCTTGCTTCTAACTAACTCTTATAACTGAAATTAACCCATTTCCGTTCATCTATATGTTGTCACATGGCCCGTGGTTTTTACCTCTCCTCCTGCATGCCCTGCTTCCTTTGTGTCCAACTGGCAGCCATGGTTTCTTCCTCTCAGAGTCCCCTCTGCCCCCAGAAGTCCTGCCTAGCCATTGGCCATTCAGCTCTTTATTAAACCAATCACAGTGACACAGTGTAAAGGGATATTCAGTGACAAATCACTCATTAAGAAAATGTACTACAGCCGGTCTTAATGAGGCATTTTCCTAATTCATGCTTCCTTCTCTGAAGTGACTGTGGTTTGTGCTACATTGACATAAAATTGTGCAGCACCAGAGGCCACACAAACAGGACCCTCTGTCCAGCACGGCTTGAAGCCCAGAGTGATGGTAACTCATTTCTAAACACGGTAAGGGCACTACCCTGCAAAATGATTAGAGTGAACTGGGCTGCGGGAACACATGAATGCACTGTAATCACACCAGGAGAACCAGGCCCGAGAACCCACAGAACACAGCGGAAGAAAGAGTATAGCCCCCTCACCTAGACCCCAGCAAAAGGAGGACTCCTGTCGCTGAATTGTCACCTGACTTCCTGGCCAACAGCGACCTCCAACAGTCCCAGAAGCTTCAGCATGGCTTGGTCCCCACTGTGGACGTGGCCTGCTTGAATTGCGGTCTGTCTGTCTGTTCCTCTGTCTGAACCTGCAGTCTGTCTGTCTGTTCCTCTGTCTGGACCTGCTATCCGTCCATCTTCCTGTTCTTCCATCTGGACCCAGTCTTGCCCTTTACTTCACAGCCTTCATGGTCCCATGCCTGCAATAGGTTTCCATTTTAAGATTCAGCTCAGACTTTTGACCCATGGGCTCAGCTCAGCTGCCATATCTCCAGGAGGATTAGTTAGTGAACTAACGCCCAGATCCCCAGCACGAAGATGCTCTTTCCATCCTTAACTTCTCAGCCTCTGCCTCCCAGGCTTCCGAACTCCTTAAGCCCTGACTGCTGTGCTCTCTTGTATGCTACCCGCAGGCACACGTATAAACACATTTACCTCGTGATGAGCAGTGTGTGCTCTGGGAGTTAATATTAGTAACCGAGACCGGAACAAAAGAACCCGTGTTTGCCAACAGCTAGCTATCAGGGGAAACTGCAGACAACAAGATTGATTGATTGCCAGACAATAAATTCTGACACACCAATGTGCTCGCCTATGTTCCTGGCATAATGTGCTCATGACAGTTTGTTTGTGTTTTCTCATGTTTTTGAAGGCACGATATTGTATTTAACCAGGGCTGAAGTCGTAGTGTTACATTTTATAATCTGTTCATACAGCTATAAATCAAAACCGCAGTTTATCTGCCCATTTATGATGATATTTGTAATTGAGCTTTTCATATCTGTGGTGGGGGGCATAGCTTGATTGGTATTACAAGGGAAGGAAAAACCGCCTTTCTTAGCTAGAACCTATTAATTCCATGATAAAAGACAGATTAACCAAAATGCAGGTTAAACTGCCATTTTGAGCTTTATATGCAAGAACCACACAGAAAATCAATGCAATTCTAAAGAGGCAGCTAGGGTCTGACTTCCATGCCGTCTAACAAAGGACTAGACAAGCGTCCCTGAGAGATGGCTTAGCAGGCAAAGACGTCTATTAGTAAGCCTGAGTTGGATTCCTAGGGACCCATGTGGTAGAAGGAAAGAACCCAATCATGCCAGTTGCCCTTTGACCTTCACATGCACATCATGGCTTAGAAACAAGGCCTGGGGAGATGGCTCAGCGGTTAAGAGCAGATCCTTGTGGAGGACCTGAGTTAGATTCCCAGCACCCACATCCGATAGCTCACAGTTGTTACTGCGGCCCCTGTGGGTTCACTGCAGCCCTCTGATACACACACTTACATGCACACGGTACCACACACAGGCACACACACACAATTAGAAATAAATATTCTTTTAAAGAAAAGAGAAAGAAAAAAAGCTAAAGAGTTCAGGCTATGACAGAGTGAGTCAGGGAAGGTATATAAGGAGAAAACTCACGGCAAATAATGGTGTTTCGCAACGTTTGTACTGCAGACCCGGGTCTCCTCTTCCCTGTAGGAGGAAACGGAAACCCTGGAAACAGACCAATGGAAATTTACGTTTCTTTTACAAAGCAAAATGTACGCACTGATTTTATGATGAAGGCAAAGTATAAAGAGTTCCTGTTGAACCTGCCATTTCTTAATTACCTTCAGCTCAAAATAACCCTTATGCCAAAGCGACATATTTTAAAGAGGCGTATTCTGACCGTATGGAGCATCATTTGCTATAGGGATCTTGAGAGAAGGAAAAGAAATACAAATATGTAATTACGCTGATAATTTGTAAGTTTGTTCTTTAAATGTACTTAATATTTGCTCTAATCAGGACAGGAGGCAGACAGCAAGAATGACTGCCATGAAGGAAGTTTGTATTTACAGACCTCCAGGAACAGGAGACAAGGCACATACAGGACCGCACGGGAAAGCACCCACGTGGGGCAGGAGGCAGAAATGGAGTCCAGTCTCGACACTACTGGGGTCTTCACAGTCAGGAACAGGTGATGCAGGCTGGGTACCTTGAGTTAGTTTAAGATTAGATGGAAAACTGTGGGGAGGGCCCTCTGGGATCTAGGTATGGTATCGGATTGTCCAAACCCAGCCTTAAAGTGATTAAGGGCAGAAGGAATTTTGGTGAGAATTGGTGAGAATGTAGAGTTAAAGGAGAAGCTTGTGTTTTGGAATTTTACAGGAAAACTCTACATCCGAATGTTTTCGTGGGTAGGCATAGTCTCCCATGCCTTTATGCCAGTCGAGGAGACAAAAAATTTAATAATTGTGACCATGTCAGAAAGACAGGACAAACCGGCTCAGTTTTAAGGCGCTGACAGAACTCTGACACGTTCTATGAAAGTGAACCGTGGAGATAACGGGAACGCATCTCCCACAGAGCAGCCCGTCTTGGCCAGGTCAGTGAATCTCACCTATCACTGGAGAGGTGGGTACCACGGTTGTCACTTGAGGGGGACGGCCTGGTTCTCCTGAGATGACAGTCGCAGCCTCAGCTCCCCGCTTGGGGATGGTCTCACTGTGGGATGACCCTGGGACAGTGTCAGTTCCTTGTCATAAGGATGCGTATGAGGGGCCTGGAGAGCTTGTCCAGAGGTTAAAAGCACTGGCTGCTCTTCCAAAGGACCCAGGTTTAATTCTCAGCACCCACATGGCAGCTCACAACTGTCTGTGACTCCAGTTCCAGGAGGTCAGACACCTTCATACCAATGCACATAAAATAAAGTTAAATAAAAATAAATTTAAAAAACAAGATGTGTATGGAGCAGTCTTGTTGTTCCTGGAATCCAAGATGACTATTGAATGCAGTGACTCAGGAGGAAAGTGTCAGAGGCAAAATAGAGCCAAAATTAGCCAGGCGGTGGTGGCGCACACCTTTAATCCCAGCACTCGGGAGGCAGAGACAGGAGGAGCTCCATGATTTCAAGGCCAGCTTGGTCTATAGAGTGAGTTCCAGGACAGGCTTTAAAGCTATAGAGAAATGCTGTCTCAACAAAGAAAGAAAGAAAGAAAGAAAGAAAGAAAGAAAGAAAGAAAGAAAGAAAGAAAGGAAGGAAGGAAGGAAGGAAGGAAGGAAGGAAGGAAGGAAGAAAGAAAGAAAGAAAGAAAGAAAGAAAGAAAGAAAGAAAGGAAGGAAGGAAGGAAGGAAGGAAGGAAGGAAGGAAGGAAGAAAGAAAGAAAGAAAGAAAGAAAGAAAGAAAGAAAGAAAGAAAGAAAGAAAGAAAGAGCGAGCCAAAATAGTATTAGGCTATGTCTGGGTTCTCCTTTATTTCAGGGTATGGGATCTGGGTGGTCTGGTTTGTTTTTCCAAACTCAACTGTGGGGAATTGTTTCCTCTCTAGGAACTATGGAGGCCTAGGAGGAACAATCTTCCTGATATCAAAGCCCCAAATGCCAGATCATTAAATGTGGGCTGGGCAGTGACAGAATGCGGGTCTGGCACGTGATGTTGGGGTCAATCCTTAGTGCAATTAGGGGGAAAGGGCAACTTATAAATGCAAAAAGTGAAAAATGGGGGGCTGGAGAGGTGACTCAGTGGTTATCATGATGGCCAGAGAGCAGATCTTAACATCCAAAGAATGAGACAGGTGTCCTGCACATGCCAGCAACCCCAGCTCTGAGTGTGTGGAGACAGGAGGATGCTGGGGCTTTCTGACTCCCAGCCTAGTAGAGAAAACACAAGTCCTATGTAGAGAGAGACCCTGCCTCACAGGAATATGTAGACGGCGATAGCTCACAGGAATATGTAGATGGTGATAGCTCACAGGAATATGTAGATGGTGATAGCTCACAGAACTATGTAGATGGTGATAGCTCACAGGAATATGTAGATGGTGATAGCTCACAGGAATATGTAGATGGTGATAGCTCACAGAACTATGTAGATGGTGATAGCTCACAGGAATATGTAGATGGTGATAGCTCACAGGAATATGTAGATGGTGATAGCTCACAGGAATATGTAGATGGTGATAGCTCATCATACTACATGACCCCTTCGGGCCTTAAGTATTTACACAGGCATGCACATTCACATACACACCCACACATACACTCACACACCTAAATAAATAATGTTTTTGAGACGGGTTCTCACTGACTGACCGGGACTTATTATAGAGACCAGGCTGACCTTGAGCGCACAGAGGTGTCCTCTGCTTTTGCCTACCGAGTGCTGGGGGTAAAGGATTATGCTACCATGATTGGCCTTAAATAGATCTCTTAAAAAAATGAGAAAAAAAAATGTACTCCCTTCTCTGAAATTGTTTAGTCTCATGAGTCTGGGTATGGCCTCAATCTCAAGTGCTCCTCCTGCTTCAGTCTCTCAAGCGACTAAGACCACAGGCACAAACCGCCACACCAGAACATGAGCTGGTTTTGTTTGTTTGCCTGTTTTGAGACAAAGTCTATTGTTTCCCAGGCTGGCCTCAAACTTCCAGGTATAGCCAAGAGTTCCCTTGGACTTCTGCTCCTCTCGCCTTTACCTACTAAGTGCTGGGAATCTATAATGACTTAAGTCATGCTGAGTATTGAACCTTGGCTTCCATGATACATGGAGCTACATGCTCTGTCCTCACATAAAGGTTGTTGTTGTTGTTTTGTTATTGATGTTGCTTTTGAGGCAGAATCTCTCTACATGGCTCTGGTTGTTCTGGACTCACCAGGCTGGCCTCAAACTCAAAGATCTGCCTAACTCTGCCTCTCTACTGCAGGAATTAAAGGCATTTGCTACTATGCCTGGCCACACGACATATTCTTACTATTGATAAATATAGAATTTATAAAATATAATTTTGCTTTTAAAAGTCTTACATCTTTAGTCTGATTCTATCACAGGGACTGTAATGTCAATGTCCATCTTATTCCCGATAAGACTATATTGCGGGGCTGGAGAGATGGCTCAGTGGTTAAGAGCATTGACTGCTCTTCCAGAGGACCCAGGTTCAATTCCCAGCATCCACATGGCTGCTCACAATTGTCTGAAGATCCAGTTGCAGGGGATCTGACACCTTCACAACAATGCACATAAAATAAAGTTAAATAAACCATAAAATATTTTTTTAAAAAAGACTATATTGCAACCCCTATTTTTGCACTTCCTATTTTTGGTAATGATTTTATGCATTAGATCATTGCTCTACCAAATATTTAAGATGATAAGAATGCTTGTGTGTGTGTGTGTGTGTGTGTGTGTGTGTGTGTGTGTGAAATGAACTACAGTAACATCAAACATGTGGAGGAGAGAATGAATTTCTTGCTTCAATGTTGGTCAACACTGATGTAAATCCTTTGGATTTTCTGACCTCACTTCCAGTGTCTATGGAAAAATTCTAATTACTATCTCTCTGGCAAACTTCTGATATCTGCAATAACTGTATTGCTTCACAATTGCAATTTAAGCAAAATTCTCAGGATTCTCAAAGGACTTTCAGACCTTAGACTAAGATCTTAGGATGGTCAGTTAATTAATAAGAAATCTTTGGTTTCCTGGCATATTTTTTAGAAAATTAAAATCAACAGGCAAATAGAAAGAAAAGTGCTGGGTCACCAAGCATTATTATTTAGACTTTTTTTTTAAGGCATGCACAGAGAGGTAAATTCAGTACATACACTGTCTTGTAATCTATGAGGTTAACTATATATTAAAGCTAGGATTGGGATCTGGAAAGATAGGTTAGCTGTTAAGAGTGCCTGCTGCTTTTCCAGAGGACCTGAGTTTGGCTCCCAGCATCCACATGCGGATGCTCACAACTGCTCGGAACTCCAGTTCCCAGGGATATAATGCCCTTCTGCCTTCACAGGTACCTGTGCTCACATGCACAGATATTTTTTTTTAAAGGGCAGGCATGGTGGTGCACACCTTTAATTCTGGCACTGGGGAGGCAGAGACAGGTGGATCTCTGAGTTCAAGGACAGTTTGGTTTACAGATTGAGTTTTGGGACAACCAGTGTTACACAAAGAAACCTTGTCTCAAAAAAAAAAAAACCAAAATAATAATAATAAAAATTAAAATTGAAAAAGAAGACAGCCCTCAGCGCATCAGGAATGCTTTCACCAGAGGCTGAATGTGTGGACTCCAGTTGTTCTCTTCCCAGTCTCCAGAGCTATCAACAAAGGACGTTTAAGGTACCTAGTAATAGTGTTTCTGTTAGATCAATACAGACTGAGTAAGGCAACTGGGAATATCAATAATGATTCTGACCGTAGTATAGATTAGATTCACTATAAATAAACCCAGTGTCTACCAACCAATGAACGGATAAAACAAAATGTGGTCTTTTCATAATGGAGCACTCACTTCTCATCAATGACAGGACCTGGAGTAGAGCTTCAATCCACAATGTGAATGACCCTTGGAAACATTACATCGTGTCACAGGGGCCAGCCACAGCAGTCTGCGTAGCACATGACTGCATTTACATGAAGTGTTCAGAACAGGCAAATCTATAGAGACGGAGAGTGGATTTGAGGTCGCAGGAGGACAGGAGTGGGAAGAGATGGATGGTAGTTTGGGGGGGGAGAGA